CTGCCTCTTAGGTCACTCCGAAAAGACAGTAGAATAGCCGTGAGTCACGCTGCTATATCTGTGCTGGTGCATGCTTGCCTCCCTTTTCTGCCCCTCTGCAGTGTAAGTTAGGAGGCCCCGTGGATTCATCAGGAGTGGCAGGCGCGAATGCCTTCCCCCGTGACATCCCGAGGCTCTCTGTCCTTTGGAAAAAAATGGATCGCCTCCTGTGTGCTGGTTGTAGCTCGGGACATGTAGTAAAAGCAGGAAGACGAGCACAGTCTGATGGAATGGACTTGTGTTGAAGGATAGGGTCGATGCTGCTGCATAGTGACGCTTGGGAAGGGGGTGCAAATCTCCTTGGGATGAGTCAGCACATGGTGGCTGTGGTCTGCAGACCTCCTCACTCGTCCCAAATAGAGCCTTTTCCGTGGACTCCATCTTCCAGACACTGCACACGTTTGTGCGTGCTCTGCATGGGAGGGAGGTCCAACAAGTAGCCCTGCTTCATGCGGAAGAAATTCCAGGCAACATGCTTGTAAAGACATTTTTCACAATAGACATAGCCCACTGTGTTGTTTTGATCCATTCCCTGTATACATCTTTCAACGTGTGGAAATGTATACAGCCTGAGTGGCAAAACCCTTACTGTTATGAGCCAGTTGTCCCCTGTCTGAGATGTTTCTGTGGCTGGCTGGGTAGTATAATTCTCTTAATGGATTTCCAGAGTGGGTGCAGACATCTTTAATAGCCAGTGAGTTTATCATCTTGTTGCTCTTCAGCTGCGCTTATCAATGGTGGGATGAGATGCACATGTGGATGAAAGTTTACAGGGGAGGGCAGTTCAGACGAGCATCTTCTGGCATTTAGAGTGGAATTCAGCTTTCCTGACTTGGACATCTAAAGATGGTAGGTTGGATTTAAACACCATCCCACTAATGATAGGCATCCAAGATGCCTCAGGTGAGACTTCCAGAAGTGCCTAATTCCTTCAGGGCCTAAAGGAGGAACAGTCAGGTGACTGGTTCCATTTCAGACACCTACATTTTAGATGCCTAAGGGCAGATAAATTCCACTTCTGGTGGTAGGAATTGTAAATTATTTGGTAATATTGAGGATAATGCTAGAGCACCTCCTAAATGCTTGTATAATGTGCAGGATATTCTACCTACAGAGAAAGCGTGGGGAAGGCTGAAGAGATGTGAGGGTGTGCATACAGGCTCAGGCATATATATGGTGCATATATAGTCGTGTAACTAGAATTGCGTTATTTAACAGAGCCGACCCAAACTTTGCGAGTGTTAAGGACTCTTGAGATCAGCATGGGTGATGGAACACCTCAGAGGGGATGGGGCCTGGGCGATTGGCTGTGGGAAACCAGGAGAAGAGAGTACAGAGGTGCTGGCCAGAGAGGGGCCAAATAGCAGTAGACAGCTAGCCCTCGTCTTCATTCATCTTGAAGTCCAGTGTGCTGGGTTGGGTTAATGGCAATGCTGTCAGAGTGCTGAAAAGAATTGTGCCGTAGGGATTGGCAGAGGCTAATTGCCTGAGGAACGGAGTGCGCACTAGTATATAGGTAGGACCTGTTCATCCAACCCATCCATCCTGCTGCGGTTGTCTTTCTAGCTTGTGGAAGTCATCCCTACATGTCCCAGTTGCTTGTTTGCACCATTCGTAATAGCTGAGGTATTGGTGATGGTGATAGGCAAGTTGTTGGGAGACTTTTTCCAATTGGCCTGATCTGTGTGGTGGCCATTTGTATATGACTACTGTGGTGAAGGGTTTCCACATCTTAAGCTGCCAGACAAGTGCTGCACATTGGCAGGTTCACTGACATTCATTGGTCAGACTCCCCAGAAGCACCTCAGGCTGTCATTCAGGAGACGCCTCTGGTGCCTTAGGCCTTTCTAGAAGAAAAAAATTGAATACGACATCTTTATTTTCTTTCTCCCTGCATTATAGGATCACCATTCCCCTTTCATACCACTGCCCCTACTCTCATGTGGATGGCTGTCATTACTGCATATCTCCAGAATGCAGGGAGCAGCATCCTATGAGATCTAGAATAACGGTGCTCCGCAAATTGCTTGTAGGAAGCACCCACTAGCCCCATACTCCCACTGAAGTCTTATGCATGGTTAAATTGCTCTTTCTTCTTGTTTGCAGTGCGTAAGCAAGAGATCATTAAGATAACAGAGCAGCTGATAGAAGCCATTAACAACGGAGACTTTGAGGCTTATACGTAAGTACAGATGTCTTCTGACAGGTTGTTTATCAGTTTGTGTGCAAGTGATGTTCTGGCTCCTGGGTATGAGGAGTTGTCATGCAGTCAGGGATGGTAAAAAGTTTTAAGCTTTTCAGCCTCCGTCAATTAGGAGTAGGGATATGATAGAGCTCTCTAAATGAACATCACGTAGAAGTCGGGTATCAAACAGCAACAGGAGCGACAAAAGGAAAATGTCCTGGCTGTGTAAGAAAAGTAGGGGGGAGGGAAGTGAGATGGGCAGAAAGAGAGTAAAAGAAAAGCCAGAAACCTAGAGGCTTGTTTTATGTGAAATGCCAACTAGCACCATCTCTGTGTTGTTGCAGTAGGACTGAGTCCTCCAGGAGCTTACTCCTTGGAGTAGGGAAATAGTTAGGTGGACACAGGGTGTGAGTCAAATGCCGTACCAGCGCTTCACTGTGTGAATAGCCCTTGGGCTCGAATGCAGACTGTAAGCCTCTGGTGGTTTTTTTTGCAGAAAAATCTGTGATCCTGGCTTGACCTCATTTGAACCTGAAGCGTTGGGGAACCTGGTTGAAGGAATGGATTTCCATAAGTTTTACTTCGAGAACTGTGAGTGGGTAGATTTGGTAACACGAACAGCTTTCTCTCTAATCTTCCTTTATGCCATATTTTGGGGGGAAAATTGCCCTTGTTTTCAGTGGCTATCAGAACCAGCAAGAACTTGATTGTGCATGGGTTATGATGCATTCATAAGAGCCAGCATGCTTTCTCTCAAAAGCCTTTTTCAGCAACAATTTCAATTCTAACCCCCAGATCCCTTCACTGTAGGCATACAATTTGCCTGGTGCAAATATTTTGTAAGCATGGACTGCAGGAGCTTTAAAAGTTTGAGGCACCGGATTTCCTAGTGATACGTAAATGGAAAAAATGAGCATATTTTGATGGAAACAACATGTATGTTTGGGGTAGACATACTGAATGGTCAGAGATAAAGATAGTCATGCACAAATCAGTCATGTCTTCGCTTTCGAGTTTTCCCTGAACGGTTTCAGATCTCTAACACCTAATGAACCCATTACGTGGATACAAGGGTCACCTTGTCAGCCTGGGGCAGGAAGGAGAGTTGGGAGAAATGCTATCATTTATACTAGTGGATTTACCTCCCTTCCTGGATGTCTCGACAGGATGAGATAATTGAAATTTAAATCCTGAGCTGTTCTATATTTTTTTTTTTATTTTGGGGGTTAGGTCAAGGTCCTTAGTATAGGCAATTCCTAGTGCTCTAAGTACGCAGAGACTTTGTCTCTCAAAACCACGTTCTGGAGTGACTTTTACACTTCTCTGAGGCTTGTTCGTATTTAATACAGGCCTAGCTTAAAGATCTCCTGCTTATTGATTCCTTTGCAACAATATTCTGTAATTAAAAGATCTTTTCCTATAACTGAAGAAACAGCAGCACTGATGTTGAAAAAGTGGCGAGTATGCTTTGCAGAAGTGGGAGCAAAGGGGCCAGGGGATTCTAGGCAATAAGAAGTGTGCAGTTCCTAAGGAGAAGGACAGGTGATAGGGGAAAGAATTGCTTGGATTTTGCCTGGAAAATTGCAGGAGCAATTTTTATTGTATCCCAGAATCCAGTGGAAGGTGAGTAGAATACAAAAGAGGTTGGAGGATGCGGGGGCTGTTCCTTCTTAGTAGTAAAGTGAAGCTGATGGTTTTGCATGTTCTGCCAGTACTGTCGAAGAACAGCAAGCCAATACACACCACCATCCTGAACCCGCATGTCCATGTCATTGGTGAAGATGCTGCCTGCATCGCGTACATCCGCCTGACACAGTACATCGATGGCCAAGGCCGGCCCCGCACCACGCAGTCTGAAGAGACCCGCGTCTGGCACCGCCGAGATGGCAAGTGGCTGAATGTCCACTACCACTGCTCTGGAGCTCCTGCAGCACCTCTCCAGTGAAGATCAAATACGGGTATGGACTATCGGGGAAGGAGTATATCATACACACAACTAAGGCTGCTGTATGTGGGAATTCAGTATTCAGGGCTGTTTAGCTGGCTGAGAGAGAACCATTTTTAGTTGTCTGTGGGCTAAAAACTTCTCCTGGTCAGTTGGTGTTCCTTTCTCTAAGCCCTGTCCTCTGGACTCAGTAGGATTATCTGCCACTCCTGATAAACTGGAGTCACGTGCCGGACGGTTGTTCCTGAGCATAGCTACCCTTGTAGCAGCAGTCCTTCCTCCCAGGTACTCAGCTCTGTGCTCGGACAGCGTGCTAATCCAGAGCAGAGAGGAAGAGGATCTCATGCTGTGCACAGGTTTGCTGTTTCCCAGCTGTCAGGGTTCTACCTTTACATGCTGGTGATTTCAGAGAACTTTTTTGATGAGAATGTCATATTCTAGAGAGGATATTGTAAAATCTATACAGAACAATTTCTATGCCATAAGGGTAAAGATTTATTCATATAAATTTTACTACCAATTTTCTGATTAGCGGAAGCTATTTAGTGTACAATGTTGAGAAAACTCAGAGGAAAAAAAAATCTAAACAAATAATAATATCAGAGGATTTAAAATATCCCCCAATTAGCTTGCCACAGTTCAGCATTGGAGGAAACTTGATTATAAATTTTGACATGAAGAAACAATTGTTGCTGGCTCCTGAAGGACAGCAGATCCATTTACTTCTGCAGCATTTAGGCATTCTTGTTTATTGCCTTACTGGTTTCTTTTAGTTAGATGTACAAAGTCTTTCTGCCTCTTCATTTTATGCTGAAGTATATGTCACATTCATTTTAAAGATCTGAGTTTCCTAATCTTAGGACTTTTTTACTAAAGATTTTCTATTTAAGAGCAAACACAAAAAATATCTACACCTGGGAGACAAGGGGTTTTTTTAATGTGGTCATTTGAGGATGAACCATTCAAGTATAGTTACTACTTGAGTCCTAAGCTTGTGTACTACTTGGGACTAAGCCAAGAACAGTTTTTATTCTTAGGTGTTGTGAGGGATTCAACCCTACTGAAGGCAATGGAAAGGAATGTGAACTATCACAAGCAAACTGCAGAGGTCACAGATGGAATTTGAGAAGCAAAAACCAGTTGGGGGCACCAGAAGCAGGGAAGCTTTCAAGAGAGCGGGACAATAAGCTGGATTTCCCGGGAGTAAGGCAGTGAGAAGGATAAAGCCTTTGCAGGGAAACAAAAAATAACTTACTTGCAGCAGTTTTCATCACAGAGATGTTGAGGGAGACTTCTGTCCTGGATTGAGTCCAAAAAAGATGCAGAAGAAATTATTAAATTAAAGATCAGTATGGTTCAGTGGCTATGCCTAGGAGTTCTGAGGAAGCTTAGGAACGGAGAGTCTTAGCTGCTACAGAAGAGGTATGTTTCCTTGACTTGGCTGCTGAAATGTTGCACCTCCTCCAAAAGTATGTGCTGGAGGGTTTCTGAAAACTGCAGAGCAGAAGCCATTTCCAAACCACAAAATGTTGGTTAAACCAATATTTTAAAAAAAGCCTATAAACTAAATTGAAGTTGAAATATTTGCATGCATTTCTGGGTTCTGAAGGAGGTGGAATCACGTGCAATTACAAGTGGGGTCAGTGTGGGCAGCCCCCATCTGAACACATTGAATCATTTTGGAGCGGCGTTGGCCCATGTGCAGTGAAGGGTAAGGATGAAGAAGGAATGAGGTGAATAAGAATGCTTAAATAGAAATGAGTGGTTTGTTCTCACCTGGAAGGCAGAGTTCAGTTTTGGGTAAGTCATCTTAAAAGGAAACTGCAGCCGTAAAAGAAGTTTGAGGTTTATCAGAGGACTTCCGTGCAAGGAGAGAGTAGGAACCGAGAAGGGAAAAGACTAGTAAGAGAGTTTGCGACAAAGATTTGCAAACTAAGAAATGGTAGAAAGAAGATTTTGGCTACACTTTCGTGGCAGGACAATGCTAAACAAACATGAAAAAAACCCTAACTTAAAACTGATCAAAATAAATCCAAATAAATAAAAAAAAAATGTGTAATTTGACACAAGAAGATTAGCCAGGAGGAGCCTTTGCTAAAAGCAGTCATTAGGGCTACAACTTTGCAAAACTGCAGAAGAGCTCATACATTTCGTTAAATATTAAGAACATTCAGAGACAAAATTACTGCAGACTTTAAAAAAAAAAAAAAAATCTTTCAGTTCAAGGCAAAAGCCAATGGGAAGTGAGGCAGAAACTGTTCCTTAGGGCCAGAGCTTTTGACCACCCCTTGGGAAACTTCTTCAATTTCTGGGACATGTCACTGTTAGATAGTGGGCCCAGGTCTGCCCCAATCAAGCAGGTGATTCATTTTAGCAAGTAGTTCGTTTTCATTGGCACACTCAGCCACCTGGAAGGGAAGGTGGGTGCCTCTTGTCATCAGGGCTCTCCTCACAAGCCCCAGTCTGTGTTGCATTAGGAAGGGTTTCTGCCTGCACCAAATAATTAGCCTGTAGAAAATGTGTTTTATTAATTCTGTACAGCTAATGTTTGGCTTTATTTCATTCCATCTTCGAATCCTGTTCTCCCCTCTCCTTTCTGGGTGGACACTACCTCTTCCCGACTGCAGCAACTTGTGGAGATACTCAGCTGGAGGGCAATATCTTCTTAGCAAGCAGCTCTGGAGTGCCTGAGTGACAGCAACGGTCATGTCTGTTTTGACGTTAAAAAAAAAAAAATACAAATTACAAACAGGCAGCAGCCAAATGCACGAAACCCTGCATGCATCTGATGCTCCGGGCGCTGCCTTTCTGTTGTTTTCCATGGATCCATCGTGTCTGTTTCTGCTGTACGAAGGTGTTTTTAAATCTAAAAAAAAAAAAGGACATGTTGTTTGTATAAAATAATAAAAAACAGGAGTAATGCTAAATAAATGACAGATTATCCAACGTGCCCCCTCCCCCAGGGCTAAGAAAATGGCAGCAGCTGGAACATCTTTCAGAAATGAAGTGAGGGGGAAAGCAAAAGTGAAGGAGAGAGAAAGAGAGAGGGAGAGCAAAAAAGGAGGCGGCTTGAGCAGCGGACGGCTGAACTGTGCTCCGCAAAGCCACGGTGGAAGCTAACATCACATTCAGGCTGTGCTGCGACTTCAATCAGTGAGAGGTGGCGAGGAGACCCCAGAGGAGCCAGTGTGAAGACTGGGGTTCAAGAGGGAGGAGGCGCTTCTCTTCCCGTTGCCTGGCAGACTGACTTCAGCCTGAGTTTCTTCTTCGATTTCTGCACAGCAAGAACGCTATGGAAAGCTGGTTGCTCGGCTGCTGGATCCCAAAACAGACTTTTTTTTTTTTTTTAAAAAAA